GTCTGGTAGCCCCTGCGCCATTCTCATTCACCTGAAGTAGGATAACCAAATAAGATTACTATTACTGCTAACGTTATTACCGCAGTGTTTGCTCATCACTTAAATTTCCTAAACTGCTTTAAATGATACACATATACATATACACAATACACAAGCGTAAATACTAAAATAAATTATATTTAAATAACAATAATTACAATGAAACACGTCATACATCGATAGTAACATTAAACAATACATTAAATATTTTCTTTTCTGTAATAATCGTGTTATAGGATAGTTTATAACATCAAAACAACACATGTGGCTAACTTACCTGCTTAAGTTTTAACCAGGTCGTTTAACACCGTCTGTTAGCAGTCACCGGTAGTAGAAGCTAGTTAGCTATCAACCTAGAAGGTTCCCTTGGACTGTGTTCTCACCAAGTACTTTCACACTTATGCAGAGAGCGATTAAGACTGCCACCCTTTACCTTCCACGGTGCATCACAAGACCTAACCGGAGCATGTACACACTTCAATCCCTGACGCATAACGAGATGAACCGGCTGAACGGCTACTACTAACCAAAGCTGACCAGTTGACCGGGGAGCTAACCGGAACCACATGCTTCGCTTAGCCAATCAACGGCCAGAACGTCATCGGAAAAGCCAGAAGTTTTGAAAAGGCACTGCTGACTGAAGAATGAGACAGCACTTAATGTAGAACAGAGGTAAATGCGTGTGACTTATTAAACAAGCGGGTTTACTTCATTTTTGATTAGAAGTAATATTGTTTGACCAAACGCGGCACTAACCTTTATTTCGTGTTGCTATTATTTCAAAATATTAAGAAAATAATTTATAAAGTGTACGACAACAGTGTTTGAATGTTAGTTAAGACATCAATCTCCTTAAATAAACAAATAGAAACACACACTTATTAAGAGAACTTAATGCTGGGGAAATATACTCATGTTTATAACGTCCATGCTTACCCAGCCTTTACCGCGCATTTTAGCTTGCTAAACGATGGGGAAGTGTAAGCGCAGAGCGGAGAGTGCCGGCGTTGCAGGTTAACTGTTTTGTTAACTGGTTGGATTTGTTTACATATTCCATTCTCCATGTTTCAGATGTTGGATCCGCAGATTCGTCTTTTTCACCGCGTGGTCGTATGCCATATAGTTTGACAAGATTAAAGACCTCGACAAAAAAAGGTTTCCATCTCCAGCTCGTGCAAATGCATACACGTGTCAATATTAAATAATTTATTTTATTTTTTTAATAAAAAATAATTTCATTGTTGTCTGAAGATGATAGTGATACCTGTGTGTCATACTGGCAATAGAGACGACCGCTCGGTGAAAAGGACGAATCTGGGGAATCAGATTGTTGAGCCATCTAAGGATCATTAAAACATCCATGCGCACAACTGCAAAGAATGGATTTGAATTCGAGCAGGAAAACTGAAAAAAGGAATAAACTTGACGAAATATATATGTTTTGACAGATCAAAGGAAAGAGTTCCACAAAAACCAATTTGTGGGTTATTAGCATTTTCTCAGTTCTGGATTACATGGTGATGGATTTTATTCATACACTGTTGCAGAGACGTCTGTGTTTGCACCTTCAGCCACTTCAGCACACAAAATGTCATCATAGGCCAGACATGATTTATTTTGATAGGCAATCGATCAAAATTAGAAATGAGCATGAGTTTCCAATATTTAACTGGATATAAAGTTAAAAAATATCTAAAAATGTTATGGCCAATGTGACGTTTTTGGGGGTTTTTTTGGTCTGAAATGTATATTTCACCTTAATTTTAGTGCCAGCTGTTTGGATGTAATGTTCTACCACTGTCAGAAGGTGGCAGTCATACTTCAATCATAAAAACCTTGATTTTAGAGCGTGTTTTAATGCTGTTCATTGTTGGTTTTCAGTAAACAATATTCTGACTCACTGAGTCTTAATTGGATCTTCTCTGTAGTGGGTCTCCAGTCGGTGGTGCCCGTAAGGCCCATATGGTTTGCTAATATACAACACTAACCCTGGCTGCTGAGGATTTAGCATAATTTTTCCAGTTAGAGCCTAAAGTATAAAAGACTGAAACTGAAAAAAAAATCTAAACTAAATAACTGACTTTGAGCAAAGCATCTTTAGTCCATTTTTAAATGACAGCCTCTTTCAATTTTAATGAACTATAAAGAATTTTAAAAAGCTGACCAAAGAATACATTAATGTGAGATCTGAGGAAATACAGATTAATTGTTTTATTTTGTATGCTTACATTGTTTTACTTTGCACACAGAAACAAAATAATTTCATAAAAATGAAAACCACCAAGGTCTAAATTAATTCCCTCCCCAATGCTAATAGTCAGTTGTGATTCCTTTTTGCTGGAACAGCCTGCAACCATTTGTTGTAGTTTTCAGCAAGTCTCACACACATCTCTGATCAATCCCAGCTCATTTGTCTTTCTTCTTCTGAGTCTCACATACTCCTCCATATCCTCATAAAATACTTGCCGTTTCTGTGCTGACTTGGTTATGATACTGAATGAAAGGCAACTGTGTCAAAATTCATAATCATATTCCAAATTTTGAGGAAAAGTTCACTATGGAACAGGGATTATCTCACTCAACAGTTTGCTCCACCCCAGTAGAGGGAGCTAAAGCTTTCCCAATGCAAGTCACTCAGATCTGTTGTGTTTTTTTTTTTCTGCATACAAGCCCACAGGCCTTCCAGCTAATCAGTAGGTTTCATTAAGGTCTGTTGGCTCAGCATATGAGGGAGAACAAATGACCAAAAAGAGCAGCTATAATAGGATGATGTCACTTTGGTAGCACATGGCAAAAGAGGGCATCCAGCCAGTGTGTTCAGGAAGCACTGAACTGTGACTGTATAATTTAGCACTGTGTTTGTGTGTATGCTTGTAGATGGCGAGTGGACAGCTGTCGAGGGCGGAGGCATTGGCATGCTCAGGCTGCAGGCATGCGTGCCATGTGATGCTCTACGCTGACACGAAAGCTCAGCTGTTTGGAAGAATTCCCATCAAACATATCATACTGGTGAGGTGTGTGTGTGTGTGTGTGTGTGTGTGTGTGTGTGTGTGTGTGTGTGTGTGTGTGTGTGTGTGTGTGTGTGTGTCATTTGAGCTACTCGCACCTTTACATGTCTGCCTCTTTGAGTGAACAGGCATATTTCTGTGTGTCACTTCCACAGATGCAGATGCGCTTTGACGGTCTGCTGGGTTTCCCTGGCGGGTGAGTCTTTCCTGGTGCTGATTTTGCTCCTTGCAAACATAGGTACATTTTAGCTTTTGGTTTGTAAAGCCTTCTTGTTCTTCACAGAAGAAAGAAAAAATAAACCCTTTACAGCTCAGAACAAACATTCAAACACTGATGCTACAATCCTCGTCCTGCAAGGATTGGCGATGATAAAATGTGCCTGACGGCTTCTTGTTTAAAGCGACTTATCTTGCCTTAAACCCCTATTTGTAAAGATTGAGATTGTCACATACTGCTTAATTAGTATTCTGCTAAATGAATCACTTGTGCCTTTGTGATTTACTGTAGTCGCTGCCAGGATCTCTGGCATTTCATTTGCCAGCACAGTGAAATTATATAACGAGGAGGCAAAGAGACAGGGCTGAAAAATGATAGAGACATATGCAAAACAAGAGAAAACTACGTCAGCAAATAACAACAGTGGCAGCTCTATTGATACAACTACATATGAATTGTGTAGCCTCTGTTTTTAATATACTGCTGCAGGTGGTGTATGAAGAAATCTTTCAAAAACGTGTACTGCCTGGCAACATTAAACATCCAAAACACTAGTTAGTTGTGTAAATTTGGTCTGCTACTAAAGTTAGCTGTTAGACTTGTGCAGGCATTCATACATATCCATCCATTTTTTGTCAGAGTCACCGGGGCAGCAGTCTAAGCACAAGTCCCCTCTCTTTCTCCCCGGCCAGTTCCTCCTTCTCATCTGGGAGGGACTCCGAGGCATTCCCAAGCCAGCCAGGACACATGATCTGTGTCCTGGGACTGCCCTGGCATCTTCTGTCAGTAGGACATGCCCAAACCACCTTAACTGGTTCCTTTTGATATGTAGGAGTAGAGGCTATACTCTGAGTGCGTCCTAAATGTCCAAGTTCCTCAAACTCTTTGGCCAAGGGACCAACCTTTGAAGGAAGCTCATTTCCGCTGCCTCCACCCAGAACTTGTGGTCATAAGTGAGAGCAGAAGCGTAGATCAACCAGTAAACTCACACTTTTCCTTTCACACTCAGCTCTTTCTTTATCACAGAATACCTGTACAGCATCTGTATGACTGCAGACACCACAGAAATCCATCTGCCAGTCCGCTGCTTCACTCACCCTCGCTTGTAAACTAGATCCTGATATACTTAGGGCAACAACTCATCCCTGAGTGTTCCACCCTTTTGCAGTTCAGGACCATGGTCTCAGACTTGAAGGTGTTAATTCCGATTTGCAATTTGGAACAAACATTCATGTCGCCCTTTTGGAGGCAGTCTGTTCACTTTGTATCAGTGGCCATCGTCAGCTCAAATGAGAAATTTACATTTTATTTGCGACAAAATGTTTTTGTTTTGGGTTTTTTTGCTTATGAATGCTAAACTAATATCTTCAAATCATCAGTCTGTTGGCACTGTGACTGATTCTACATGCCCGGATAAATTGAGTGAGAGTTTGAGTTTCTTTGGCTTTCTTATGCCTTAGACCAGTCAAACAAATAGTTATTGGCTGATTTTGAGTTTGAGGTTATACCAGAATTACATTAGAGCAGGTTGTGCCACAGATGGCTGTTCTATTGAAATGTGGTTATACGTTTCTCTAAAAAAAAAAAAAAAAGTTTTTTAATTTCTGAGCTCTTTGAAGTCTGTGTATTGACACAGTGTGTCACTACATTTCATGGTTATTTTTAGCCATATATTTGTTGTAGACAGCATCTGGGTCACTGCCCTCTGCAGCAGTGCCAAGTTGGAAGCAAAATCATCTCAAACTGGGAAAAAAAAGTTTGAGTTTATTTGAACCACAGCTCATTCTGCACTACACTCGTCTCGCATCATCAAAGGGGCCCTCTACTGCTTATTTCCATTTTAGTTTTTTTAACTGATTTGATCTACTATAGTAGCTTTGCATGATTCACAATTCAAAATAGTCATTCATCTTATACTGAGCCTCTATGTAGCCACACTTTTAGCTACTGTCCCTTTAAGTTCACCTTCCCTTTCAGACAACTTCTGATTGGCTGCCCCTCAAGAAGAGATGTTGTTAACGGTATGTGGGTGGGGCTGTTCCTGCTCTGTGACCCAAACACTGAAGCCTGAACTGTTGGCTCATGAGGATTGCCTTAACTCACACTTTCCTCATTATTTAAATCTTTAGCCCTGTTAATATGGACATGCATAATAGCACCATTTTAACCTATTATTAATTGTGGGGCCACAATTAAGCTGTGCATGAGTTATCACTCATGTTCTATGGAAAAAAAAACAAAAGAATCCAAGCACCACAGCAGAAAATACTCAGTAAGTGTAACAAAGATTGATAATGATACCAATAATGATAATAAACGTGTTAAAAAGGACTCCCAACTGTGCCCAGTCACAGTTCTGTCCACACAGCTTTGTTAGAGAGTGACCTGCTGAGACACGATACATGTAAAAGCAGCGGTCACTTCAGTTAATTGCACGACAGCAAGTGGCCTTTTCTGTCTCTTCCAGTGACATTTACGAGGGTTAAGAACCTCTCTAAAGAGCTGCTCTTAGTTGTCGGTGTTCTCCTAATGATAATGGAAATGTGCGTCTGGATGTTGACCAATGCTTTGACACTATGGCAACAGTACAAAACACACCTAAACTCCTTCAGAGATTTTTATAGAAGCCTATAAATTGCTCTGAAATATATATAAAAAAAGAAAACGTGACAAACTTGATATATTAGAATCACACGGAGCTGTTGATAAGCAAGTGTTCCGTATAAAACGGTTGTTGGCTGATATCCAAAGCGATTCGCTTTTAGGCATTTAACATCCCGCTAGCTGTTACCTTTTGCTTTCTTTTTGCTGTACTTGTGCTCTTCTGGATACAAACGTCACTTTGATCACTTTGGCAAATGTTTTTATCTTTGCGCACTGTCAAACACAGTGAAACTGTATCTTTAGCCTCTGTGCATTTCGTCCATTATGTCCGGTATATTGTTATTGTAACAGCTCAGGTTGAGCTTTTGTTACTATATTTTTTTTGCACATTTTCTAAGATGAGACTCGAAATCTAGTGACTTGAAGGAGAAGTGATCAGCACCATCACCTGGACAAACTAACTTAGGGCTTTAAATTGAATTAGCCTTTCAATTAGTGTGATTTATTGTCAGGAGAGCAGTGCCTCTGACATCGTTTATCTACTTTCACATCTGTTGCTGACCTTTGATTCTCACACTTCAGGCTCGTTAACCCTTCGGAGGAGACCCTTGAGTCGGGGCTTAGCAGGGAATTGTCAGAAGAGCTGGGCCTGGCTTTGCCAATCTCTGTTGAAGATCATGTGGATTCTTGCTATGCACCTCCTTCCTCCCCCTCCTCCTCTTCACGTCTTATCACTCACTTTTACGTGAAGAAGATGGATGAAGAGCAGATTAGGGAGGTGGAGAGGGCAGCTGCATCCACTGCAGCAGATCACGGTTTGGAGGTAATGTGTCCTTCCAGAGTGACTGATTGCAGCGATTTACCTGATCTCATGCTCTGATCCTCACCACCTTCTTTCTCTGCCTGACTCCAGGTCCTGGGAATGGTCAGAGTCCCTCTCTACACCATGAAAGGAGGAGGAGGGCTCGCATCCTTCCTGTCACACTCTTTCATCGGCAACGCTCGCTCCCAGCTGGTCCACTCGATGCTGAGACTCAACCTGGTCGCCCCCGGGGAGTTGCACAAAGCCCTGACGCACTCTCTAAAGACTCATGCACACACGAAACAGGACCTGCAAGCAGCCCTGGCACTGACCCAGGGATTGAGGAAACAGTTTTAAAAAAATGCAGCTGCATTGCTACATCCTCTCAAAATGTAAATACAGATCCATCAGGACTGTTATAGACAAAAGATGATTTCAAATCCACTGTAACTTATACTCTGGAAACTCCCCGCCATACATGAGTGTGGAAAGCCAAAGGTGGGAGGCCAGCAGCAAGAACAGAGCAGGCATTAAGGACAACGGATATGACACTAATTGAGTCAGACATGGCATTAAAATAAGAGAGGCAGGAGTGGAGGTGGGTTCCAAAGCGGCTTGTAGATGCACAGTAACCGTGGGCAGACTGAACCGGCTTAAATAGCGTGCCCTATTTGACATTTGTCAATTAACTGTGTAGAAGGGTCTCAGCTGAGCTTGATTTCCGTGGCCCGCCTGAACTAACCCTATGCTCGGTTTTGACCCTCCGCAGCACAATCTCACACATAAACCTCCGCACTCACACTCATGCTGTCACGCTGACTCTGAGCTGGTGACTCATAATTGCATACTGTGCACCAAACAGTTTGGGGCAAAACATTATCAGCTCCCTTACAATTAATGGAAATAAAGCTGTTCACACTGCCCATCACGTCTGAGTCTTTCCTGTCATTTCTCTTCATTTCAGTCGTCAGCACTGTGTTGATTTCAAACAGCCAAAATTGAAATGCTAATTACAAGGCGCGAGAGCATTTTTTAATTTATTTATTTTTTTACATTTACAGTCACATCTTTATGTGCTGGTGAAGATTACTTTTCTGTTATTCTAGCAGCAATTTTGACACTTATCTCACAGGCATCTATCAAAAGTGCTACACAGCACTCAGAGAAGCAACATAAGATGAGGGGTTACCTTATATGGCATTGCATAGGCACCCTGTGGTTTCCTTTATCTGCTGGTATCAATAATGAGGCAGGATGTGTATGATCTACAGCCTTTTCAGTCAGAAGGGATTCTTTGTCTGTGTGCTCCTCACATTTCCTTTTCTTTCTTTCTTTTTTTTTTTGTTGTTGGTAGGTTTCATTTGAAGTTGTAGCACATCAGCAGTGGTGGTGCTGGTGGTGGAGGATTAATTACGTCCGTGACATACTATACAGCCTGCAGGCGAAGATTTGATTCTGTTTAAGTGCACCCTTGGTGCACATAACGCGCTTGCTCCAGATGTTAGTAACCTCATTCCCCAACATTATTGCTGCCAGTGAGGAAGAGCAGAGACAGGATGTTGCTCAGCGTTCATGATACCTACTGTACTGAAAGTATAAGATCCATTCTCTGGTTTTATTTTATTTTTATTTATTTTTCAATCAGTCAACTTCTGCAGGTGCAGGAGCATCATTTATCCATGTCATATTATTACTACACTGCATTCATCCTCCTGCATTCATCAGATAAAAGCTGGAACGCGTGGAAGAAATGTGCAGAGTATCCCGCTCGTTCACTCATCTAACATAATGGATTTCATGGGGACTTATTGCATTCTTACAGGGGTGTCCATTAATCATGGCTACATGCAGATTGACTCATCATCGAGCAGGTGTTAATGCTATTAGTGATGAAGGTAGAATTAATTTGTGCAGCGGAGTACGGTGCGATCTGCTGTCGGTGCGCGTCTCTCGATCCGAGCGTGTTTTTCTGAGCTGTGAGGAGGAGGGGGGGGAATACGCACCACATCCGACACGATAGACAGGAAGCAAAAGAGACTGGTAGTACCAATCGCTCCTGTCTGTGGTTGCCTTTTATGTGATCCTGTGGCCCTTTTTGTGTTTTTGTGTGTCGACGGTTGCATCTTGCATGACAGTAAGGTGTGTGTGTGTGGGGGGGGAATAAAAGGATGCTGTCGTGTGCTGCAAGGGAAAATAATACAAGGTCATTAGGAAACATTTAGAAAAAGATTGGTGGGGGTTGCAGGGTGGTGCAGTGTAGGTGAGGGGGAAGGATGGATGCAGGGGGGGAGAGAGCAGGAGCGAGGGATGCTGAGGGAGAAAGACGGTATATTCATAGCAGCAGCGGTATTTATAGCCGCCCAGAGGAGAGGAGAGAGCGCGGGGGCGTGGCTTTTTGCGCTGCTTCGCATGGCGGAGAGGGAGAGTGGGGAGGAGAGAGGCAGCTCTGGCGCGAGTGAGTGAGCGAGAGGAGAGGCTATTTGGCAGGAGAGGGAAGGAAGAAAGAAAGGCGGGAGAGAGGGAGGGCTGTTTTTTGAGTGAGCGAGTTTGTGTGTGTGTGTGTGTCCCTGAGAAATAGAGAGAGAGGGTGGAGAGTACTGAGCAGAGAGAAATCTGTCAGATTCAAACACACTGTCTGTGTGTGTGTATGTGTGTGTGTGTGTGTCTGTGGTAGAAAGAGAGCGAAGGATGTAAAGAGAGGTGGAGAGCTGAGGAACACATAGAAAGAGACCGAAGAGGACCACAAAGTGAGGTATGTACGGCTGTCATGCTGCTCATAAATCCAGAAACAACCTGTGTGTGTGAGCATGTGCATGCGTGACTGAAGTGAATGTGTCTGTGTGTTTATATATAGTTTGGTGTCTTAAATGGACACTGTGTCCTCTTGGGGGGTTTGTAAGTGGACAAATGGAGCTACTGGCTGTTAGAGGAGTATCAATTATGTAATACAGTGTGCACCATTTTCACTGTTGATGCTCTGTATATGAGTGTGAGTGTGTGTGAGAGAGAGTGTGTGTGTTTGCGTGCTTGTGTAATTATGCTGAGGTGTTTATGTGGCCATTGTGTGGAGCCCTGCCACTGTGCCTTGACCATATGGGGTGATTTACAGCCACTGTTAAAAACAAAAAAACACCAGTGCTGATGGAGCTGTGGAACCTTAAATCCCACCTGCTGGCCTTCTCACCTATAAGGAGTTCACAGCTATTTTCATGTTATGTTATTAAGGCACGCAGATAAACAAGCTTCTCAGAGGCATCTGCAAAGTAGCGCTCCCTTTGTGCTGTTGGTTCACAGTGCAACAACAAAGATTGTGATGGTAATGTAAGACAGCAGCTCGAGTACAGACACAGCAAGCTCAAAAGCTTATGTAGGAAGCCGAATGGTGTGTTTTGTTTTCTTATTTGATGAGTTTACCTTTAGTTAAACCCAGGAGGAGCAGCAGATTCGAGAGCGACATTGTCACGATAAAACTTGAAATTCTCACGTTGATTGAAATCGTAGCCCTTCCGGCTCACAGGTTGGCCTGATCTAAGATGCAAATCCCTGACCTCAGATGGCAACACGAGCATCCTTGCTTTCACTGCATCAAAACAGCTGCACAGACAGTGGTGTGCTTCAAGCGTGGTTGCTGTGCTTGCACATGCATAACGTGGTGCTAATTTTGACCTACTCCACTTCCCTCATGTGTTGATTTGCCAATGAGCTGTGCCAGACACTTAAGTGACATTACAGGAAATCAGGCGTGACACGTTTTCCACAAAATTTGAAACCACATGTGGTCACAGTCTTTAGGTCACAGTCATTTTAACCCAAAGGATGCAGAACAATTTAACAGTAATTTTACTTTCTATCTATTGATGCAGTCATATGCTGTAACCAATTCAATATAGGTGAATGTATGTCAGGTAGGGTGGACCTGCTTTATAACTATTATAACTATTATAACTTCAAATTTGTAATAGCAGGTCTGGCTGAAAGATGGTGGAGTCAAAAGTAGTTTTGTTTCCGTAAATGTAGAACAATGGAAATGGAAAGTGGCCTCAAATATGCTTACTATTAATATATATGCATATCTTAAAAAAACTGTAGTTAGATTTAGTAGCAGTGGAGATATTTGTGTAAATGTCCCTGATTTCATATTACAGCAGTGAGATTTTCTCTTTCAGTACTGTAGACCCAAGGAGCAAAAATATCAGTAGAACTAAACCTAAAGTGCTGATTAATTATCTCACTTAGAGAAGGTTTCAGCGCTGTGCTCAGGCAGTTTCAGCTGTGCCTGAGGAGCGGATGTGGCCTGACAGCCTTCCACCCCCTCACACTGCCCAACTGTTTCATTTCACCTTTTTTTTTTTTTGATATCTGACGGGATCTACAGGTATGCATTCCACAAACATTGCCTGTAAATGATCTTCTGCATTAAAGTCAACTCTCTGTGCTTTTGCAATTAGGTATCATGCCAGAATCTAAAAGGCGCCTGCCATGTGTATAATATGGCTACTGTGCTACTGCCAGAAAAAATGTATGTCCTTTTGCAAATGTAAATCTTTTTGCTCTGTGCCGGTACTTAGTGGACTGCTGGCCGCACTTTCTTTTATGGGATGAATTCCGTGTGGTTCTCCTCTACCACCTTGAAACTAGCTGACCCTGTGCTGTGTGTTTTTGGCAGTGACGCGAGCCAGGATTAAGCTGCTGCTAAAAAATTTTGGTGAGATTTTCAGGTAACAGAGTAATTCTCTACAGATGGTTGTGAGAGGAAAAAAAACCTGTGGTAGCATACTATTATGCAGTTTCCTGTTTGCTGTGGAAGTTTCTGCACAAGCAGCACTTCACAGGGTACACAGGAGTGTATAGAAACTCTGGCAAGAAGCAAACAAACCTGGATTTTGGCTACTTTGCATGGCGAATATAGCGTCCTAAATCTCATGGCAGATTCTTAATAAGTTATGGGCCTGGAGTCGGTATGAGTTTGTGCTACCTTTTGTTGTGATGCAGTCACGTTGGCTGTATACTGTGGTTTCAGAATTACCGTCATGCAGCCAGTTGGCTGACAAATAAGGTAACTTCCAGCAGTTGAAAGTCGGTTGATACCCACTACCTTTCTAGTTATCTTGATGACTCAAATCATTTTACGCTGCAAGTCACACTCAGCCATTCACTAATACAGTTCTTTTGTAGAGTCTAAGCAAAAAAACTGTATATCAAAGATGGATGTAGCCACAATATCATCACTTGGGTTTTAGACTCCGTACCTTGAAACCTCAACGTTAGCATTTTACCTTCTGCTGTGCTGTGCGGGGGGATTTTGTAGATCCATATAACCATATCTGGAAGGGAGTTTTAAGTACTAAGTTATTAGTTAATGCTAGCAAGCTTAGCAAGGTGCATCAGGTTGTAAACCTGCTAATTAATGCTACGTAGGATTTCACTCACTAAAACTGAATCATTAACTTTTTGGGCAAGAAACTCCGCGCCACACAGCAGGCCATATTATTGATCAGATAATTGTCTTAAAAAATCCGCCAAGTGGCACCAACAACACAAACATGGTTGAGGCTGGTTGAGTTCAGGAATCAGCAGAGGTCAAGCAACCTGCCAGCAAAAGTAGACGCATTTCTAATTTTACAGCTCACTAGTATGGGTAACATTGTCCACCATACCTTGGTTAACGATGAAGGTAAAACTTTTGTTTTGTTTTTAATCTAGGCTTAAGCTGGACATTTTAACAATGGAGCAAATGGGACGTGACTCAGTTTTGGAGCCAGCATCAAGTGGACAATAAAGGAAGTGTAGTTTTCAGTTCATCTACTTTGGTTAAATGTAAAACCTGTTGAAGTTGCTGTTGGCTTTTAGCATGTGTCAACCTCCAGCTGTGATTTGTAGTCACAGAGGTGAAAATTTAAAAAAAAAAAAGGCTACAAAAACTCACTG